GCAAGTTTTACAAATTTATTTTATAAATATATTAAAAAAATGACAATACAAATGTAATTGTTTAAATTTTTCTAATGAACTTAAATTAAAAGAAGTGTACTGTATAATAATGTTTATTTAATAAAACTATTTATATGAGAGAATCATAAGTTCACTTATGATGTCTATAAATCAAATTGTCATAAAAATTGTCCGTGCTATTTTAATTTATTTGCAGAAGAAATTATTATACAAACGATGAAACCACAGCAAACTTTAAAAGGAAGGAAAAAAACGCAAAAGTTTAAAAGAAATGTTATGTTTCTTCAACGTTTTTTTTCCCTTTCACCAGTTTACTCTTGATGCCGAAAAATTAATCAAACTTTGGCCAAACTTTTAATTAAATCCGGCGGCAGTGGGTAACCCAGGGAAAAAACCACTGCCTCCACACGTGATGAAAGAATTGCACGCTCCATCTCTCGAAAAATCCACTTTTGCGCGAAATTGATTCTTTCTTTCGTATGCAGAGGCAGCTGGATGTGAAAAAAAAAACACACACACACAAGCTCGCAAAACGGCAGGGCCTGCGAGCAGCTTTTTATTTTAATGATTATTTCTGCAGATGTAGCTCGGCGGGGCCATGGAAAGAAAACACAAACTTTATAGGATATATAATTGAATGTTCAGCCGAGTAGTTTTGCTCGAAAAGCTGGTCACACTCGAGTTCACATGCAGGAAATTCAGCAGAACACGCGACCATGCAGCGAGTGCAGCCGAGGAAGAAGCTGCAGATTTGCAGCCTTTGATCTTTTATCTGAATAAATTAGCAATTTGGAATGGCTGCGCGCATTTAAAATTAGGAACGAAGCAGGAAACCTCAATTAAGATAACAAAGCCCTTCGTCTTCTTCTCTCTCCGCCCCTCTGCCCTCCGCAAGGGTTACTTTGCACGGTTCTCCGGTTTCTGGAATGTGAGATTGACTTGTGTGCGTATCGAGGATGAGAAACCAACATGGTTTCCAGATTGTTTTTGAAAATTATAATGAAATTCTTGATACAATTCTTTCATTGTTTATAAAGTGTTTTTTTTTTTTTTTTAATTTTCATTTGGTCCATTGCAAAGAACATCAATATTAATTTCAGATAAAATTTTACATTATAAGGAAGTATAACCTATGAGGAAAAAATTTTTTAGCCATGAATATTTAGACTTTTTAACAATTTTGAGTAATTTTGTGACAGTCAATGTTGGAAAATGTAGTTATAAATTTTTTTTACCAATAAATATTTAAATTTAGATTTAATATTTAAGACAGGTCATCAGTCGATCCTCATAAAATCTACCAACCTTTCTTTGAAACAGAAAATTATTCACAAAATTGATGCTGAAGAGTATCAATGTTAATTAGGAGACATCAAAGCAGCTCCCAAACATATACGACACGACCATTTGTAAACAAATTTAAATGATAATTATGTTGTAATCACAGTCTGATGATTTGAACTTGTTTTTGTAATTCTTCCTCATATTTTCCAGGAAAATTGTCTAAATTATCAAAATTTAAGGCATTCACATAAACGAGATGAAAAATAAATCAAATAAATTCATCTCTCTGTGCTGGGAACGTAAAATCAACGCCAAAAACCTTTTCAATAAAATCCTCTTAAAGGGAGCTTTAAACGTGTAATTACTTCGGAAGCAAATCGCGAGCGAATTTCCATTCAATTTGGCCGGATCAAAAGAAGTCTGCCCCTTTTGCAGACGTTCTTTCTCGCGACAGAATGCAATCAATAAAGCAAACTGCCGTCGCCTGCCTCTCTGCGTTGTTTGTCTTGAGCCGGAAAGCAGCCAGGAATAGCTGCCATAATAATCTACCCTGATTTATCAAAGAAAGGGTTCAAATTAATGTAGCGCGCGCGCGTCACCCTGGCAGGCCTGGCACGTCCGCCAACTGCTCATTTCGCCCGACTGCGGCGGGGTGGGTGGTGCGTGGGAAGGGTGCAGCTGCATACATTCTCTGACAATGGTGCGCGGAGAGTGAAGGAAGATCCTCATCTGCTCTCGTTAGCTAACAAATCTGACACACACGCGGCACCGACAACACTAAACCAGAAACAAGTTTATGTCTTATTTTATCAACTCCTCCTATATGTTTTGTCTGATTTATTCATTTCATGCAAAATTGCTAGAAATAAAGAAGAGTATATTTATAAATATTATAAATTATCGTTATTTATGATAGCAATTTTAATAGGTTACTTAAAAAATTGAGAAAAAACTTCATTTTTACCTAACAATTATTGCGTATTTGGTCTGGGTAAATTTTGACTGTAAAGGTCCCTCTATTAGCTTCTTGCGTGGTTGTTGGAAAAAGTTCAATTTCGAGTTTTTGTTCCAAGTCAATAAGTATTTTGCAGTTATATTGAACCAGTGTCTTTTAGAGGAGTTCTTGAGAAGCTTCCTGACTACCATTACTCTTAATGCGTATTTGGTCTGTGTGAATTTTGACTGCAAAGGTTTATTAGCTTTATGCTCTATGTATTTGAATGGCAAAATCAAGAATTGAATTGAATTGATCAAAATCGCAGTTAGGCACCTAAAAATGTTTCCTTGTAAAATGTATTGGACTTATATTGTTTGAAATAGAAATTTCCGAAAAAGCTGCACAGTTCATAGCGATTTAGACTGGTTTTTAATTCTTCATACACTTTTTTGGAATCTGGAAACTTTAATTTTATTTTTAGCTACAAAATTGCGGTTGTTATAGAAATAATAATTAACAATTATTATTATTTTTGAGAAATTGACATTTGAGATGATCATGGAAGTGAATAACTCAGGCTTTTTCCTCGTTTTAAAAAATTTAAAATTGTTGAAATAAATGTGATTTTTTTAATTTGTTGACTTTTGCATTTTTCTAGCACATGAAATAGGGTCGCAGACCGTGACCGAAACTGGTAGAGCCGTTATGTTTTTAATAAAAACAATTTTCGCAACGAGGAAAAGCCCGATCTTTTCACTTCTCAAATTTAGTTGTTGCTTCATTGGGACTTATTCATATTTAATTAAATGGAAATTCAAGCTTTTTACAATAACCGCCTCAGATTTTAGATCAGATTATTAAAAGTGAAAAACGTTTGATCCTGAAGAAAAATAAACTAAAAAAATATATAATGCTTGTGGCTGATTTTTTACCACATTTCAGACGGCAACCCGCAGGTCCAGTATGTCAAGATATTGCCTATCTTGACATTCTTCATATGACTGTGCCTGTGCAGCACAAACCTGGAATGGGCTGAATTAGGCAATTTCATGACAGGCGCCCTTTTGTTACAATTTTGTAAAATGATCATTTCACGCTAAAACCTCAAAAATTTAATCCACATCAGAATTAAAATAATTTAAATTTAATTGAAAAGTTACCACTTTTCAAATCAATAAATTAGCTCATAAATTGACCTGTTAATAAATTGTAAATACTTTCAAATTACATCATCTTCAATAATTTTATAATTCTATATATTTGAACTTTCAAAGAGGTTCAATTTCCAGCACCAATTAAGTGCTCCAGCTCAGCAAACTGGTGAAATTTCCGCATAACCAACCCGAAGCAACTAATTAACTGGATCTCTCTCCCTGCATGACTTTTGGCATGTGTGCGAAGGTCAAGGTCGCAACTTCAAAAGTCGCCAGCACTTGCCAGGCTCACTTTTCACTGCGAGGCGGGCGCACAGTTGGTGGTACTGGAGGCGAAAAGTAACTGCCGAGTTTAGAATTAATTAAAGCTCTTTCAGCAGAAAAGTCTCCCTCGCTGCGAGACGAGGGCCAGCAGTAATGGAAAATAATTTAGACCCGCTCGCAAAGCTCTCGCTGCCGCTGCTGCCACGACTTCCTGCTGCAGGGGGCGGAATATTTTAAATTACGTAAGCTGGAGCTCCGCTGGGACTCCATCTTTTCGACTAGTTAGTTTGCTAGCGAGGGCTAATTAGCCCGCCGCGTGCATTCACCTTGCCTAGAAGCAGCTTGGCCAACAACACCGCCAACATTCAACTTTGGCCTCTCCCCCGTGCTTTCGCAAACTCGCTGCTCTGTAATTTGGCGAATTTGCGTTTTTTCGTCACCGAAAGCGGCGCGAATTAACTGGATTAACCAGTGAGTTTGTCAGTTTACGGGGGTTTGTGCGAAAGTTAGTCGCACACAGGGGGTTTAGGCGATGCTTAAGAAAAATTCTCATTAATATGCAAGCTTTTTACAAAATGAGACCTTAAATTACAGCAATTAGAATTAAAAAAAGAAAAAAATAGGTTATTTTTAACATGATAAGATATTAAAAAAGGAGATTTTTACAAGTAGAAAAAAAGTACAGAATATTAATTTTTCTTGCTTCTTTTATTGCAAATTATATATTATTTAATAATGGAAAATGGCTGAGCTAAAAATTATTCTAAATAATGAAGTTATTCAAAAAACTAAAGAGAATAATTTCACTAATTAAGGAAATTACAGTATGGGATAAATTTGGAAGTGAGCTTCTGGTATAAAATATTTGATTGACCATCGACGTTTATTGCAGCTTGCAGAACATACTTAGGAGTGCTAATTGCTTATTTACACTGTTCAAATGAGTCATGTACGCTTCAAAATAAATATTATTGCATAATTATTATTCAAATTTAATACTCCATCAAAAATGCAGAGCTATTAATACTAAATATTGATTTTCGTCAGTGACAAATAATTTTGACAAATTTAATAATCTTCTCCAATCATTGTTGGTAATTTATAATATATTGTCGTCCAACATTTTCTTGATAATAACAATCTTTACGTCAATAAAAAAATGTCATTGAAATTATTTAATATATAATTACAAAATATAAAAAATAAAAATTAAATTATAAAAATCACAATTAATAAACTAAACTTATTAAATTATTTTTATTAAATTTTCTTTAACAGCAAAATATTTGTTGGTAACAATGCAAAAACCAATAAAACAGCATTAATTTTTGTGTGTTTTATTTTCTTTATTTTGTATAATTTTAAAGGAGATGTTACTTTGTTATTTTGAGGGTTAGTAATCGATGGATGTGGAGGGCAATCTCTTTTTTTTCTTGTTACTTTGATACAGAATGCTGCTATTTTGTTGACACAACACGATCGCCATTCATACATTATCCGAGTGACACAAAAATAATTGGCATCTTCGCATATCCACACGTGCAGGTAAAATGAGATGAGTTCGTACACAAATATGGTTTTAATTATTCATATGTACGAAGAAGAAGAGTGCGCGACGATTTTCCTCCTCTCGAAGGAGAGATCTTTGATTCATACACGTCTCTGCTCTTCTTTTTTGTAATGAAATGTAGAGTTATTCAAGAATAAACTTTTCCATCCACGTCGAGCACACGCTAAATTTGATACAGCGCTGCTGGCTCTGGTCGGATTGAGTTCCGTTCGTTATTCACTGACGCACGCATTCACGAGATTTTATCACACGTCACTTCTTCTCGCTCGCAGAAAGGGATGAGTGATGTTTTCTTGCAAACGAAACTCGATCCTCTCCGAAATGAACGAAATTTTTTTGTTTAACAAAATTCAAATTTGCACAGCAGTTGTTTTCTCATTTTACACATTCAGAGTCGGGGTTTTGTTTCAAAACGAAGAGGATTATTTTCCAAACATTGAGATTGTCCTTTTTTTTGCTCTCTCTCACATTCATCGGGGTAAAACACTGTGTTTCGGAATTAAAAACGCTGTCAAGTGTCGCAACAGCCGGGCTCTTTTTCATGCGCACTTGTCACCTGTACGTTTATGCAAATTAAACAAATCTCCCTAGCAGTATATTTTTCTCTTATTCGCCGCGGGAAAAAAATTCCGCTCACATGGGATAAAATGTACTTTTCATTCAGACACATGCACGATTTTAAATTTATATTTTACTCAGAAGAATGAGCCATGATTCATGTTTTCGTCAACACCCTGATTTGAATTGTCGATTTTACTTTTCGTGGAGTGAATGAATTTTTTTTTAAACTGCTTCTCGTTCGTCTTCCTATACAATAATCGAGTAACAAAGATGACCTTCAAAGGAGGCGATCGGTCAGAAAAACGGATCACGAAACGCTAATAAAAATTAATAAAATTTCTGATTCTTGCTCATTAAAATACATTTTTAAATCAGATTATATTTTGAATCGGCCAATGTGGCAGCTTTTTCGGATCTTCCTCAATTTCCTGAGCGACCACCTCTTTCAATTAAAGACTAGTTAATTAATCTCAATAATAATTAACGAATCATCATCATCGCGTGTGGTAATGTGTTGTTCGCCGGGCACTTTTAGTCCTCGAGTGTCTGCTGGATGACGATGCACTATGTCGAAAGTCGCCGCCGCCGGGGAATAAAAAAACTTTTATCCAACAGCAACTACCGTTCGGTGAGCACGTTTTCAATTGTACACAATCAGAGATAGTTCGTGGAAATTACGTCTACTTCTTTTGTATGTACACAAGTTAACGGTAAATCAATCACAATGCGTAGAGTTCGTCTCACAGTTTCTTCCGCCGGAAAAACTGAAAATTGCTCTGCTTTTTCCTAAAACCGACTTTGTTTTGCTTTATCATCTTTTTTTGTTATCGTTTTGCGCGTATAAAAGAGTGTGAGTGATTTTACTTCTTCTTTTTCCTTCTTTTTCGATGGATTCTTCTTTTTTTGTTGATTCTCTTTCTCGCAGCGCCGAGCCGAGTTTTTGAGATTTTTGCTAATTTACAAAAAGTCTCTGCGAAAATTGCGGCTTACTCAGCAGTCAGTCTCTTATCTTGCGGCGAACGCAAGACTGGGGAACGAGAGTAACCACACCAGGGACAAAACTGTCATCGCCAGGTCCGCGGTCGAGGCGGCCGAGTTGGTTTTCCTCCGCAGCAGGGCTGGCAACTTGTCTCCTGAAACTGTGGCAAAGATCATCATTAGTTTGATTAATTAATTATTTAATTTATTTCTGACATAATTTAGAGGAGGGTTTACGAAATAACTTTGATTAATAACAAGCTCTGTGGACGTTTCATAAATTAATCCACTTTTTGTCATTTTTTTTTTAAAGTCTAGACTTTTGCATTTTATTTTTAAACGTTTAATTTGCAACACCTTTTTTTAAAGATTTGCTAGGAAATTATTAAAACACGATTACATTTACAAAATTAATTAATTGTTTGCTAAAATTTCTCATTCTCTACTTCCAGCCGATTATCTCTTATTGCTTTTAAGTTTTACTTAATTAAAAAAATGCTATTATTTATGCATTGTTAATTGCAAAAGAGTGTAATTACATCTCAACGCCTAATTGTAGGAGGAAAAGTAATTAAGCATCTCTGATTAATCGTGGACAAGTGCAACACTCGCTGCATCGTTAAGCTCTGAATAATTGCTTTTCGAACTGCGAGGACAAATTAACGTCGGCCAATTTACTCCCGATTCAATTTCGAATTTCTCTCGCCATCTTTCTCCTCTCGTGAATAGCTCGCAATCAGTTTAACTTTCGTAACGCGTCCCCGCTGGGTATTTTTCACAGCAATCAATTTTGCAAGGTCGAAAAGCTGCAAAATAAAAGGGGCAAATGAGCTCGATTTCTCTCGATTTTCACAGTTGATTTCCATCTGAATAATATTATAGTTATTTTATAATTTCAGGAAAAGGCTTATTTGCAGGATTAAATTTTTCACAGAGAAATTCTGAACTAGAGCGAAGTAGTTTTTAGGAATATAGCGATTCTTTTTGTTGAACTTAGTTTTTATTTCCAGTAAATAAAATAAGGGATTTTTTATTTAATCATTTAGAATGGCATTGATTTTCTAAGAAGATTAACTTGGAATCAATGAAAAAAGCATATTTTTAGCCTAAATTCAACTTTTTACGTTTTCTTTTATCCTACAAAGAGTATTTAATTGAAAAAACTGTTCTTAACTGAAATTAAAACAAAATTTTTGTATACCAACCCAACTATTGATAAGCTTTAAATCATGAATATTTTTTTTTTTTTAATTTTTAAAATTTAATAAGATCATTCGTACCCAAGCACAGTTGAAATTTTTCTATAAGACAGGACAAAAAATTATTGTAAATTTCTTATTCTTGCTCTCCATTATCAATTTCTCCTTCAACACAAAGCATTTCCTCTGCTGATAAGTATGCATTAAATATTAAAAGAGGGAAGACAATTCCGAAACGAGTTTTTTGCTGTCAGGGACAAAAGTTGCGTCAGGGATTAAAATGGGATATTCGCGGTGGCGGCTGGGAATTGCGTTGCAGCTCCGCTCTTTCTCTCTGTTCCTGACAAATCATCCAATAACCAATATAGCGGCAGAAGCCACTCGCAAGAAGTGGAAAATGAGTTTTTTGTGCGCCTCCTCCCTCTCTCTCTCTCGCGGCGTTATTGTTATTGAAAAGAATAACAATAGACTTCCCACGCACTGCAGACGTCATTTCGCGCGCAAATACTCTCTGCGTATTGGCGCCGAACAGAGAGAAATGCACGATGAGAATTTTCGCCATCAGGCACATCATCAGCAGAGAGCCAACGCGTCATTATGACAGCAGTCGCGGCTCCCTCGCAAAAAGCGGCAATTCTCGCGAATTTACGTGGCACCGCGTGTGCAAATAAAAAGCCGCGCGCCCCCTCAATAGAAAAAATCGCGCGAAATTCACCCAAAGTCTGCCGTCGGCGGGTGTTTACTCTGGCTTTCCAGTTTGCGGCTCTCTCGGTGAATGAAAACCGTTTTCTCTTTTGCAAAGTTTCCCGTGATATAGAATGGGATGACTGATGATCCTTCAAAGAGAGCGGTGAAAAGTTTCGGAAAAGTTGAAAGAAGAATTTACCTGCTTTATTGAACATCACATATAACCAGAAGAGAAAATTACAGTTCAAATTGCAATTTCAGCAAATTTTAAAATTAAATATATTATCAATTAATAAATATTAGTATTTTATTAAAGAAAAAAAATGCTCACTTGCAGCAGATTGTTATTATAAATAAAAAAAACAAAAAATAGCAAAGAAATAAAATAACAAAAATAAAACACAAAATCGTAGCAAATCATTAATACACATTTTGTGTTTTAAAGCAATAAAATCTGTATTTTTCCCAAGCCTAATTGTTTAAGTTAAATTCTTAATTTTTCTCTTTCCTTTTACAGTTTTTTAGCTTTGTTCAATATCATCTCATTTAACATTAATAAGGATATAAAGGATCAAATTAAAATAAAGGTTAAAAATAAAGTTTGAAAATAATAGAAATAATAATAATAATATTTGGAATAAAAATCAAATTCAGCATCATCAAACCATCAATAAAAGGTACAAGACGACACGAATTTTGCTTGACCTGGCCGTTAAAAAGCAAAAAATTTCTTAAAACCACTAAAAACTAACTCAATTTTGAGAATTTTGTCCTTTTGATTTCAATTTTTTCATCAATCAACTTTAACTTAAAATTTGCGATTTATTATTTATATTTATTTGTGGGAAAACCATTCATGTCTATATTTATTTTCAAGATCAATGCTTTTGTCTTGTTACTGTTGATTTTATTTATTTGTTGTCTTTGTTTTTTAGACACTTGTAATTTATTTTCAGAATTTTATACTACATTATTTTGGAATCAACAATTTTGATGTGCGGACAAAAAAATCATCCGCTTGAAACGTTCGTCAAAATTAGGACGGCGCCTTTTCGTCTTTTTGCTCATGTTTTTCCTTTCTGAACACGGAGCGGCTCATTAGCCATACCACGAGGGCAAACCACTTTGGAGCATAAAAATGTTATAAATCAGCATCTCTGCTTGAGAAGAAGTACAAGGAGAAGCAGAGTATTTCCCACTCGCTTTTTAAGCCGCTGCCGCCGCCGAGAGAGCGAAGATTTATTTCGCCATTTGACAGGCAAAATTAATGCGCCGCTTTGCCCCGGAAAACATTTTCGCGGTGCATCTCGCGGTGAAAAAATAAAAAAATAAAAATAACGTACATCCGCCAGCATTGAAAAATCACTTGGGCAATATCGTTCGAGTGCTTCCGCCATTATGCGATGTACCACATTTGGCGAATAAATGTTGGATGTGGCCAAGAAGCTAGTCAAAGAGAGGATTTTGTGTTTATGTTATTCAGACCCACATTTCACGGCACTTGGGGCAAATACATTCCTCTCTCGCTCGCACCACCCGACACTAACATTTGGAAATGGCGTGTACATGCACATTCAACCTTAGCACATAGACATTTTCACCCACAGCAATGTACGTACGTGTTTGCCAGCCAAGGAATCTGTGGGCGTGGCGCCCGAATTGCCCTGCCATTACTGAGCACTATGGAAATGAGACGCTCGCTGGAAACCCATTTCGATTCTGTTTTGGGGTTTGCAGCCCACCGTATTCAACCAACACACTCTCATCGACGCTAATCTTTGGCCCCTATATTGATTTTCGAGACAAAAGAGAAAACATGCTGCGCGCAAATCAACCGCATTTATTTCATGTTTCCTAATTATTACAAGATAATTATAAAATTTGGAATAATTCACATAATAATCCATTGAGTGAATGATACTGAAGATCTTCTTATATTAATTTTATTAATTTGTACAAAAAAAAATGGATTTAAGTATTATATATTTTATTTATAAACTCAAAAACTTTTCTCTAGCAAACATAAAATACATGAAAAATATTAAATCTTATAATTATCATTGCAAAAATTACTGATTTAATTATCAATTTATAAAAATAGCAATAAATATAATTAAATGTTAAAAAAAAACCAAAAAAAATAAACCAGAATATATTTGAATTTAAATTAAATATAATTATATTTAAGTATTAGATATTCACGAAGATGAAGAAAATGGATTTTGTCGTCTATGAAAACACTTTTTATTAAAAAAAAAAGGCTTTAATAGTTTCACGGTCTTCAATCCTATTTCTTGAGCTATTTGATTCTTGTGAAATAGGGTTGCAGACCGTGATTGAAAATGGTAGAGCTGTTTTAATAATCTATAAATAAAAACGATTTTTTTCAATGAGGATAAAGCCAGTTTTCTTTTACCTAATTTTGTATGTAAAATTTTGCTGTTTTTTAATAATAATAATAATAATTTATAAAAATATAATTAATTATTAATTAATGCATATATTAATTTAAAAATAAAAATATAATATAAATTATTAAATTTGCTTAAAAGCTTTCAATTTATTTGCAAATATTTTTTATTTAAATAATTGACACTTTCTCGGCACAAAGTTCGCATGGAATTGTCCAAGAGGCAAAACATGTTGTTGCGAAGGAATGAAAGCACGCCTGGCTGCAAGTCGCAGCCGTGATTAATGCGCTTTCATAACGCACACGACGGCAAGAAGTTCTCCATATTTGAGCGAGGCAAAAAGTGGCACATTAAAGCAAAAGGGTGGAGATAGGAGAGAAGGTGCGAGATGGGATGCTCGCAATTTATTTCCATCTCGGCGAGCGACGCGATAAGAAGAAAATCCGCGCGTTATGATTTTGACATGCGTGATACGCGACAGCGCCGAGTAAGTAACAAGTCTCGCTGATCAATGAGACGCCGAGCAAATGAAGCGTGAAAGCTACAGGATTATCTCCGCCAGATGGATATCTGATGATGCAGCACTATCTTGGGCTTGCACACCCCTTTCGCTCCACCAACGCGCACGGACTAAATTAACTCTCCGGCAACTCTTTGTCGACGCCAATCAGCCCACGCGCGAGATCATAGACGCGACACACATTGACTAGTTTTCTGCTCCAAATCATTGCAATTTTGCATCAGGACTTCTTTCATAACGTGTAGTTCATTAGTTTGATATCATGCACTATATTTTTTATGGATGCAATATTGACATCATCAATTGCAAAGGCATTTGAACATGTATCTGAATAAAAATTTATT